AGCTATTTTTAGCCCCAGAGCCCAGATCTCTCAAAATCAGAGTCAGTTGATCTGTGCTCTGACACTCACTGCTTTGGGACTGTTTACACTATGTAGAAGTACCCTAAATGTTTGTGAAATACTTTGAGGTTCTTGGAGAAAGGGACGAGAAAAGGACAATGCATCATTGCTAATAAATGGCCAGGAGGAGAGATCTAATCAGGAAGGAGCCTGCTCTTGCCAACACACAAACACTATAACAATTAACAACAATTAAAAACACAGTGGGGGGGAGGGAGGAGGAATTATGCATCTCATGAATTATATTCTAGCGAAATGTAGTTTTTCAAGCCCTCAGGGGCACTTTAAAGATTCTTGGCTTACAGCATGTCTCCTATGTGTATAAAAATACAGAGGTAGCCGAGTTAGTCTGTAACAGGAAAAATTTTAAAAACAACAAATAGTCTAGTCACACCTTAAAGACTAACAAAACATGTAGATGGGATCATGAGCTTTCATGGGCAAAACCCATTTCCTGTACCCACGAAAGCTCATGATACCATCTACATTTTTTTTAGTCTTTAAAGTGCGACTAGACTATTGGTTGTTTTTTAACTTTTTCCTGTATAAAAATAGAGAAGCAGAAATGCACCTCTAGGATCCAGACTTGTTCTCACTGAAATCTGTGAATGAACTCCCTCTGCTTTCTGTAGGAGCAGGGCTGAACTCTTAACAGCTGGGTGTGGGTGGCAAAACAGGCATAGAGCATTTGGAAATACACTGGCCGTTAGAAGCATCATTTTCAGCAAGTTTCTCTTCTGGAAGGTTGGGTTGTAATAATAAAAGATTCAGCTCTTATACAGCATGTTTTAGGAGCAAAACTCAAAGCACTGTACTAGGAGGGCCGATATTATGGGGAAACTGAAGCACCAAACTCTACCTAAGATCATGCAGCAAGTCAGTAGCAGAATCAGGAATGAAAGTCAGGTGTCCCGAATAAATACCTGGTCCAGTGCCCAGTCTGGTATATCACATTGCTAACTGTAGCGTCCATGAGATTTTATTTCCTCTTCCCTTTGTCCTTTTCCAGGCTCCTGTTCCTTCCCTTTTTGTTTCCGCATGCTTTCTGTCTACGTCTCATTTTCTCCCCCGCTCTTCTGCCCTTCTTTTACCTCCATTTCCTTCTCCCCCGTGCATTCTTTCTTTTCCTTTTCTTTTTCTAGCTGGCATCCTTTTTCTCTCCTCCTCTCTCCTGACCATCATTCCTTGGTGACCCATGGGTCTATGTCCTGGAGAAGGCTTTTAACCAGGGGTGGGGAACCTTTCTGGGGTCAGGGGCCGCTGATCCACAGAGAAATCAGACAGGGACCACATAAGTGAGAAACCACAAGAACCCAAACAAACAAAAGCAAACTAACAAACAAACAAAAAACCCCTCACTAATGTGACCTGCCACTGAGAAGAAGAAAGGCACTCCCCACATTCCCTCAGACACCAGAGGCTAGCAGTCCAGGCTAGTACATTTTGTGTGCTCCAGTCCCATGTTGGGGCAGTGGGAGGCTGAAGCACAAGAGTGGTCTCCCAAGTGCTGGGAGGGAGATCTGAGCCTCGGGGGCTAGATTCAGGAAAGTCGGGGGCCACATCCAGTCCCCCAAAACCATTTGACTTGCATCACTTCAACCTGTACATTGCACCAAATATAAAACATGCACATAGGTACTTACCAGTCCACCTGGACTTCAACATCTCTTGTCTCCACCTTGGTTGGCACGTCACCATTGAGTTCCGTACTGCCGCTCTTCAGGAGTTTCAGGACTGGCTCTATTTCTTTTAGTAGCTCATTGTTTTCGACCCCACCATTCAGGCAAGGATTGATGCTGGCATTGTCCCTTCCTTTCACAGAGTCCTCGCCTTTGGTGCTGGCAACCACACCATTGATGTGCACAAGGGACTCTGCTTCCTGCCCGTTCCCTCTGGCCCATGTCGAGCTAGCGGAGCTCATGAGATGGTCTGCACCCTGCTGCAGGTCTCTGCTGTGGATGCTTGGATGGGTCAAGTCGACTGCTTTTGCAGCTGGGCATAAAGGTCTGGTTACTCTAACAGTCTTTGGCATCCCATCACCAGCAAAGGTGGTCTCCAAGTGTGTGGTGAAGCCCTCAGGACCTCTCAGGATCAGAACCACATAGGTCTCCGAGGCGATGCTCCTCAGGATTTCCAGGGCACTCTCATAGCTCACGTCCACCAGTGGCCGGCCATTGACAGCCAAAATAATGTCCCCTGCTTGGATGAGGCCACTCTGCTCAGCTGCCCCTCCTCGGATCAGGTCGGAGATGATTACTGGGGGCTTGTTGACACGTTCCTTCACCAGGAACCCGAGACCCCCAACCTTGCGCTTAAAGAGTCTCACTGAAATGACATTGGGCTGTATCTGCTGCACGCTGAACACATTCTCTTCCATTGTAGCCCTTGGTCTTCTAGCCTACTACCCAAAACCTCTAAATGCTCTGAGCACAGACTGGTTTGCTGCTGAGCCGAGCAATTAGCAGCTAAGAAGAGAGCCCAGCTTCTCTCTGCTTGCAAGGAGGGACCTATTGGCTCTGGAATGACTTGCCTGGTTGCAAATTGTGCAAAGCATCAGTTGTTGTACATCACTTCCAGCTCTGTCTTCGGCAGCATAATCTCATTCATTCATCACTCCCTCCTCCTTCGCTTTTGTAAGGGAATGACTCCAGCAGCCCAGGTAACCTTCACTGGGACAGCGCAAGCGTGTCACCAACAGAAGGCTGGGCCGAAGGGAGCAGGCACAGAACTAAGCATCTCTCTGATGAAGTGGGGTGCAGGGACAAAACATTAGAGAGAAGATATGGCAGCCTCGAACCATCCCTTGATCCTGTGCTTGGGAGCTGGCTCACTTCACAGACATCTCCGCAGATTAGTTTTTAGGTTCTGAATATATGTGGTGCTTCCCTGTCTGTAAAGGGGGATTTAAAAAGAGAGAGAGAGAGAGAGAGAGACAGAGACATGTGAGCTTGGTCAGAGCTAAGCATGGGCCCGGAGAGAGATATAAACGCCTCAGACACCCAGATACAAAACATTCAGGATGAGCATCCTCTCCAGAGCTGTGTTTCAAAGCCTGGCTGTATCCTGAAATCACCCCAAACTGCATTTTCTCTGTCCCTCTGCAAATGCTCCCATTACCTGGTTCTTCTAGCTTAAGAAGAACAGATGTGGAATAAAGACCTTGTAAGGAAAATAGGGGGACAATTATTTGACTGGTGTAAAGCAGCATAATTCCATTGATTTCAATGGAATGATATCTATGTGCACCAACAAAGCCTCTGGCTCCTGTTCTTTAAAGTATCTTCATGAGCCAAATTCTGCTTGGCAGAGATGACTCAGGGAAGGGCTACCCATACAATGCAACAGCTTCTCCTGTCTGCATCATTCACCTATCTCTGCAAGAGGCAGTGGCTATGTTAGTGGAAGAAGCCCTCCTGCTTCATAGCATGTTGTCTACAACTGGGGCTTAAGTCAGTAGAACTGCATCACTCAGGCATTTAGATTTATCCCATAGTTGGACTTAAGTGTTTAGGGTAGGTCTAGCCCAAGGAGCATCCTACACTTGGTTTTTTATTTAAACAAAACAGCAAAAGTAAGGGAAACATCAACCTTCAGTTAAAGGCAATATTAACAAAATGTCAGTTTCTTGTCTGGGTTTTTATAAACTTGTTTGCACCTTATTAAGTACTAAAAATATAGTTATAACAATATTATCAGTAAAAATGTTTTTAAAATTATGTTAAGAGTTAGCCAAACAATTTCAACCGGTTTCCACTTTTGTCTCCCAAACATAACCAAATATCATTAAAGTTTAACATCCTCAAAATATTTGCATAAACTTGTATTTAAAATTAATGTTGGCTTAATTTTTATTCTCTTTCTCTTTTAAGTTAAGTTAAAGGAAAATAGTGGATGTTTATATTTGTGCCTCTAACCAGTGAAACTGGTATCACAAGCAAACTAACTTAAAAAAAAAAAGATTGGGTAAAAATTCTAACATTAACTCTTTTGCTAATACAAAAAGCTCTTCAGGGAAAGCAGTGCAACTCATAAATCTATTTAAGCAGTTAAACATTATATTTGGGATAAAAGATTAGTAATGCACCTCAAATAAAAAATGAATATATACATGCAAAAATAGCAAAAATAAACTGTGCTTTATAAAGAACTCAGCCTGTTACACCGTAAACACAGTAAGCGAGCAAGTGTATTAAATTTGGGCTGCTAAAGATAAGAAAAATATAAAAACAAACACAAAGCTTTAGTACATTAATTAACTTAAGCTGTTGAAGTGGCTTTGCACATACCAACATCCCGCCTCCCAAATATCATATCCCCAGGCATCAAAAGATATAAATACACAGTAAAGAAAAATAAAGGGCTTATAAATTAAAAACTGGTCAACCACATGTCCATCGAGCACATATGAACAATTAAGTTGGCAATCAACTAAAAAACCATTAACTGAACCAGGCTAACCTGTTATCTAATTTAAAATATAGCTAATATGTAAAAGCAGCAGTATTATTATGGTATTATTGCTGTATTGTTGTATTCTTGCTGTAGATCAGTGTTTCTCAAAGTGGGCTGCAGGCTTGCCTTTGGGAAAGCCGTTAATGAGCCTGTGCTGTTTTGTTTACCTAAAGGGTTTGTAGCCACGGAGCCTTACAGCTCCCATTTGTTCCGGTTCATCATTCCAACCAAGGAGAACTGCGAGGCTGTGGGTCTGGATGCTGTTGGCAAAGAAACTGAAGCGGCATGCTAGTGGCTTTCCCAAAGTGGGCCCCACACTGAGAAACGCTGCTGTAGAACATTTACTATGTGCGTAACTTGCTTAACTGTCTAATCAACACAAAGTAAAATAAAATCAACAAATAAATAATAGCAAACAGGAAGGCCACACACACACACACACACACACACACACACACACACAAAGTAAAAAAAAATTAAGTTACACTTTAACTACAGATTGGGTAAAACATTTTCCTGGTAATACCAGTTATACGTTGGGGTCAGTCACACGTCATCCTAAGTAAGGCACATGTTATTCAAAACAATCCTGTTTGGTGTCTGGATACCAATGCTAAATCCTGGCATAGCAATATTTAATAGACTGGTTACAGTCCTTCCATTCAGTAGGTTATCTGAAAAAACAGCATACTTAAAAAAACAACTGAATCTACATCACTTACAGTGTATCAAAGTAATGGGACCAATGCAACAGGGAAGCTAGCTTTGCCTGTTTCCTGCTCAGTTAAGTTTATCAAAGGGCAACAACCAGCAACAAGGATAGTCTATAAAATAAATGGGAAGTACTGATTAGTTAACTAGTTACAAAACATTTATATGTAAAGGCTGCATTTGTATCATCACTTCTCAACATTTTTTTTAATCTCTCTAATAGGAGTGAATTGCTATCTGCAGCACTGTAAGGGCCAAACCACAGCACCAGACTGAAAAAGAATTGTTATGCTTGAATATGAGGTGGTGTTATTAGTACATATACATACTACACATGTATCATTTTACACACATATACATACTACATATGTAAGTCTCAGAGGGGAAGCCAGGTTAATCTTTATCTGCAAAAACTACAGAGAGTCCTGTGGCACCCCAGAGACTAAAGGACGAATTGGAGTGGAGTTTGCAGAGGTATGGTATATGCACCATATTCAGATTACTCAGCTATTTTAATTATCTAAAAGTTCCTCTAAGACTCAATCACAAAACTACATACTTCAGTCAAAGACCCAGGCCTAACATGCCCAGGACCACCAAAAGAAACGACATATAACTGAAAAATAAAATCTGTCCAGCTGTACTACAAAAATGTGCAAACCGAGAAACAGACATGGCATGAATGTGTCAATGGTAATATAAGGTGGCCACAACACAGAGTTTAACTCACTGGGTTCATCTTCATTCCATGTGTATGCTTTTCCAGGACAATACATCCTCCCCACAAAAAGACAAGAAGTGGGGGGCTGTAGTAGGAAGAAAGCCTGATGCACAAGCCCTATTACTAAAGGTCTCGGATGAGGCCTGAGCTAAAGCAGTGGTCAAAACTTTGATGATATAAAGCAAAACTAGCAGGCCCGTGCTCACAAAAATCTGACAAGAACTTTCCTAAAGTCACATTTTCATTACACAGAAGATCGATGCTTCTGCAGTCAATCTTCTGGAGTTTGATTTAATGGATCTAGTAAAGACCCACTACAGTATATCGAACTCAGAGGGCATCCCTGTTGATGCCAGTACTGTTGCTCATCACAAGGAAAAATGAAGCAGATGGGAGTGTTTGCTTCTGTTTACCTCCCTCTTTGAGACTGCATGGAAACTCAAATTAAGGTACATCAACTCCAACGACATAATTAACACAGCTGAAGTTGTGAATCTTACTTCGACCTTCTCCTGTACTATAAACTTGGCCTAAGAGGTGCTAAGCACAGAGCGCTCATGTAAGTGCATTCCAGAGGACTGGTACCAGAAAACCTCAATACTAACACATTCCCTAAAGATAATAGGATACGCTGACCCATTCTAAAGAGAAGATCAGGATGACAGTGTAATAAATAGAAACCTATGAGCAGATGGGTCTTAACTGTCCACATTCAAGTAGCAGTACATGTTTGTATTAATGTATAAAAATAAAGTCTCCAAAAAAATGTCTTCTCTGGCTGAGAGAACAATGGACAATCCTGCAACTAACTGAGCTTGTCCATTGTCACAAGCATGCAGGTTAGTGTACCTGTAACCACCAAGCTGGGGCATTAGCACTGTGCTTCATTGCCAATAAACCTAACCGCCTTCCTTCACTAAAAACTAAGCCTGTAGATTAACTGGGCAGTTCAATCAGCGTGTGTCTAGACTACAGTTTTGGTTTTTTTTAAGTGGCCTTTTTTAAAAAAAAATCCCTGCATCTAGACTGCCGCGTTCTTTTGAAAGTAAATTGAAAGAACGAGGCAGTTTTTTTGACCGTGGAAAACCTCATTTTATGAGGAAGAATGCCTTTTTTCCAAAGTGCTCTTTTGAAAAAAGTCACTATGTAATGCAAACTGTGCTTTTTCGAAAGAGAGCATCCAGACTGCCTGGGTGCTCTCTTTCGAAAAAGCGACTTGCTTTTTCGAAAGTACTGGCTGTAGTCTAGACGCTCTTTTTCGAAAGAAGCTTGCAGACTGGACGTAGCCTCAGAGGCTGCAGTGCAGGCCATCTGGCCAAAGTCAGTACAGCACACCGAGAGAACACACATTTAAACACACCTCCTTTCCATGTGAACACTGAGCCTGCACCGAAGGGTAAGAAGAGTGAAAATGACAAACAACCAACACAACTTTATTTGGTTACCCTCAGGTCTTCCAAAGGGTACATAATCTTATTTACATATTTGCCTAGTTTTACAACCGGCCACAGAAAATTAATTTTTTAAGACTGGTTTATACTGCTTTGATGGGGTGAGGAAACCCCGCACTAGCAGGGAGACCGCCGAGAGGATGGACATGGGAGAAGGCTGGGCTCTCACCAGCACGGCGGGAGAAAAAGTGGCAGCTAGTGGCTGGTGCACGTGCGTCCATGGGGGCTGATGCCGGGACACAAGGGACCGTTCCCAGAAGTACGGGGCAGCTCAGCTGGGTAGGGAACAGCAGGGATTGGACGGAGGGAGACAGGCGGACCTGTAAGAAGGGCGCAGCGGGCCCAGAGGAGGGGCGGGCATCCAGAGGCGGGGAGGGGGGGCCACTCAGACCCAGTGAGCAACCTAGGGATGAGCCTGTACCCGGGTGAGGTCTTAGAGGGGGGTGAGGAAAACCCAGGGTAGGCAAATGGAGCCTGAGGGCTGATGAGTTGTGGCGGACAACCCCGTCAGTCAGGTTGGGGAAGAAACTCCCCATCTTAAGGCCCTGGGTTGGG